AAAAAAATTATTAACATAAATAAATAAATGTAAACGATTTTTTAAATCGTTCGGAAACCCGTGATCACCCTCTGTAAACTTAATTTAAAAATTCTAATAGGTCAAAAAAAACACACTATTTCTTGCTATTAAACAAGAAAATTACATTCTAGATGAATTACATCTATTATTACGTATCTTAGATGTATTAATGGGTATTTTTTTAATGAATTATTTAACAAGAAGGAATTTGAATGACTAATTAAAAATTAAATTGAACAAGCCATAAAATCTATTAAGATTTATTTTGAATTTTTTAAGTTAAAATCATATTAGGACTGGACTTCGTTAATGAGACCTGATAAGAAAAAAGTTCTATAACATTTTCTTATTACTAATTTTATCTTAGAAGAATAGAGTGAAGATATTCAAAAGCTTTAGCATGATTTTTATGATCTATACATAGTTTTAAGAAAGTCAAATATAACAAATTCTAAAATCAATAATTTTGAAATTAGAGCAAAATAATGGATTTGTTTATTTTGTCAACTAAATCAAGACTAATAAATTCAGTATCACAAATACCAGGTTTATATAAAAAGGAAGAAGTAATCCTGTATATGCACGTTTTTTCCTAGCATATTCTAGAATTTTTAAGAAGGTTAAAAGAAAAAAATTTGTTATTATGATTTTTTTCTACTTCAAGTATTGAAAAAAAGAATTATAATCAAGTATAATATACATAAATAAATTATATTATCAGTTATTAAGCAAAAATAATGTATTTACTTAAATTTTAATTTAGGTCTTATTATTTTTTGGTAGAACTACTATGAGTGGTGAGATTAAAGGGAAACCTGTAGTATATGATATAATGGAATTTGAAAATTGTCAATTGTATTACTTGATTAATAATACTCTGTATGAAATTCTGATATGATATATTAATGTAGAAGATAAAGAAAATAAGGATTGAAAAGGTAAAATTTAAACTTACTAGATTGATTATATTCTGAAATAGAGATCGAGGTAAAATATAACAAATTTACTTTTAACAGGTTCTTTCGAATAATTTGAAGGAGATGATTGATTAAGTATTTTTGAATTATTACTCAGTATCGATATTTGTTCATTACTATATAATAGGAAAAATAAATAAATATTTGTAAAAATAAATCTATTCGTATTAATAATACTTACTTTTCTTGAAATTCTCTAAAATCAGCAATAAAATTACAAGACATTCTTTCTAATATGAATTCTCTATTATTTTTTGATAATATTATTTGATTCTATATAAATTTAACTTAATATGTACTTTTATAATTTTCAAGTAAAACATAACTTTTAGTATTAGTAAGAGGATTTTGTCAGAAAAACTACTGATCATAGCGAAATATTTCCTTAAGTCTAGCTGCACCTGTAGATTCTTCAAAATAACATTGATATTTATGTCTAACAGGACTATATTTAAATATTTTTTCGTCTTTAAAAAGATATACAAATACGTTTTCTGAAAAGATATCAATTGAAAAACTTTTTTTCTGATAATATGTCTAGTAAAACCAAGTTTTTTCTTAATAAGAACTATAAAAGCATTAATATAATAAAACATTTTCTCTGAAAAGGACTGAGGAAATGAGTAAAAATTAGGTATTATTTTATTATGTAAATGTTTGTTCCTTTTATGAACAAATAATTTTTGATTAGTTATATAAGTTTTAAAATAAAGCTTGCAACAAATAGGTGACTAATTTACTATTACTTAAGTATTTACTATTATAAAAATTAATAAAAGCGTTAAAACTATCAAGACGTGAAAAAAGATTAGTAGTGTAATAAATATATGCATAGTAAATATGTAATCATCACATGTAACAAAATTAAAGATAAGCAAAATTGGCCAATATGTACAATTTGCTTAATCATTATTTTAAAAAGAAAACAAAAAGATATTTTTTTTGATTTCTAATTATATTAAGTTATCAATCAATTTTCAGTAATTTATTGTAAATATAAATAAGTTTTAAAGGATAAAAAAGACTCTTTTTCAAAACTTTTATAAAATATAATATTAGCATAAAAAAACTTTATTTTAATTTTACTTTTTACAAATAAATTATATTCAATATTATTTTAGATACTTTTAAAAACTTTACAAAAGATCTTTAAGACTTTTAAAATTTAAGAGTTTTTATTATGCTAAAACTTGAAAAAAGAGATATTACTATTGCTAAATTTTTTTCTTTTCAAACATTTAAAATTTTTGGCTATTTACTGACTAAATGTTGAATATAATAAAACTTTTTAGAAAATATTACTATAAAACAATTTTCTTAATAATGATTTATTAAAAATATTGCTAGAACAATTTTTTACATTATTCATGAAACTAGTACAAAAGATCATAAAATAAAAATACTTTGTTAACAATAAACATAACCTAAGAAAATAAAGATATTATTTCTTTATTAGATGATAAAAAATTTGCTCAAAATATAGATATTTTAAATAATGATAATATGCAAACAGACAAAGATAATGTTAGATATAACTACCTTTCTACTTCTCTTAATTTACCTACATTACCTTCATTTATAACATCACTAACAATATTAACTAATACAAACAGCTTATTAAAATCAATAAATAATTATTATAATAATACATTAAAATCAACAAATAAATAAACTAATACATTAAAAACAAATAAATTCAATCTTTAGAATCATTATTATACAAATCAAAAAGTAAATAAATATAAATATGAAGTTATCTAAAGATAATCTAAATAATTCAATTAAAATAACTCTCACATGATAATAATTAATAATAGAAGTCATATGTTTATCTCAATACTTGTACTTATAATTAAAAGAGAAAATGGAGGTGATAAATTAGCTTTATTACACAATATTTTTGAATATCAACCAGGTCTATTAATATTGACTAGCATTTTCATAATAGAAATACGTAAATTTTTATAAAGCTTAGCAATAGAAAACTTTTCTTAAAAATAGTAGACAAAACAATATTACAACATTTAGATATTTATTTTAACTTAGAAAGTAAAAAGAATTTTCTTTATATTACTAATAACACATCTATTTATAAACTTAAAATAATTCTATTCTAAATTATACAACAATATATTTATTATACTCTTTTATATTATGAAACAATTAAAAATATCAAAATAAAAAATTTTATGATTGTCATGTAATATAATAATTTTCTTTAATAAATTTAGTAAATTCAAACAAATAAATTTTGTATAAGTCTATAATATTAATTAATAAGTTATCAGATATATATATTGATAACTCAGCTAAAGATTTAAAATAAAAGAATATTATATTATAAGTTTTAATAAAATTATATTAGCAGAAACTTTTTACATATTGTAATACTTAAGATAAGATCATATTATTTTTATATTAATATAGCTTATATTACTTTTAGCTTAGAATTTAATATACATGTATATGATACTTATAATCAATATATTTTATATAATAGATATATTTTAAATAGAAGATTTAAAATACTTAATAGATTATATAATCTAATGAAACTAATCAATATTCTTTTAGATCTAAATCTTTAATTTCAAGATCTAACAATTTCTAATGCCATAGTGTCTTTAGAAATTACATACAAGGCTTAATTAAGAAAATAACTCATACTAACATATTAGATTTCTCTTAATCAAAGTTTTCTTTCTTATATAAATAAATAAAATTGTAATTCACAAACTCAATAACATAAAAATAATTCAGATCCCTTATAAAATTAGATTTGATTAAATACATTTAACTCAATTGGATTTTTAATTTATGTTTCTTTCTAATTATAATGGGTAAATAGTCTAATATTTATAATATATCTACACTAGATAAATCAATAAATGTGAGCTTTCTACTAATAATCAGGACTCCTCTAATTCTCATATAGATATTTCACAATTTTTAAATAAATAGAAAATCTTTATTATACAAATAATAAAGAAAATAGACACAAACATTCAACATATAAATAAATTAATTATTAACAAAATAATTGAAGGAGATGTTATTAAGGTTACCATATATAACATTAAAAGTATCAATAAATATACAGATCTAATTAAAGTTTCTCAGAATTTCAAATATTTTAAGAATAAAAATATAGATTTTATTAGCTTTATGAAAACAAGATATATAAAATTATCTATTTTTAAATTTAAAAATAATTCTGTATTTACTTACTTTTACATAAACCAAAATGACTATATAGTATCATTTGAAAAAAATGGTAACCATTTATATTTCTGAGTATTTATTATTAGGATTAGTATTAGAGTTAAGATTTGGATTAGAAATAGAATTAAGGTAGAATTAGGATTAGTTAAAGGGTTAGGAAATTTGTCATATAGTATCATATCTTAGCTGTTCTTTAATTTTGAGGACTTAGGAAAAAAATGCTAATTATCATAATTAACATCATCCTAATAAGTATATATAATCTGATAAATAAAATCTGGCTACTATTTTTTTCATGCGATACTAAGACAATTAGTTAAACACTATTCTATATATATATCTAGAGTTTTATCTGTACACTTTAAAGTGCAAATTAATTTTTATATTACTCTAGAGAACTTACTATAGTTTATTTAATTCATATTTAGCATCCAACTAGTTCTCAATTTAGCGATAGTGATCAAAAGATATGTTTTATATTATAAATTTAATCAGATGACTAAATTTGATGAACAGATATTTATAGTATGAAAGATTTTTTACATAAATACGGTCGCCCATTTCATCTCTAAAACATTTTCAGTTTAAGCAAAACAACTTTCAGCTATAAGTATACGTAATTAAAAAAATAAAAATACAAGCGCATTATAATAAAACTAATTTATTCAATATAGTAAATGAATATATTAATTTGCATACTTTTTAGGACTAAACTAATATTATAAAATATTTTTCAGTTATAGCAGTGATTTCACTTTGTAAGATAAATATGATATAAAATTATAGCAAATGATTTTATATACTACACAATAAAGCTTACTTTTTGATTTCTAAAACTCAATAAAGAATACCATTAAAATACCAATATGTTCTTAATATTAATATAATAAATAAATATGGGTTTTTTCATATCCTAATAAAGTAGTTTCTTTATCTGTGAAGAATCTAATACATTATGCATATTTAATAATATTAATAATATATAAAAAGAGCAAATATATAGACAAGATTGTTAAGCTGTATTGTCAAATACCCTTAGCTGAAATTGCTATTTTCTGCTAAGAATACTGATAATACTTATTTTTTACTTATGCAATAATAATGATCAAGTTTAATTTTACTTTCTTAGATTTGTATATATCCAGATCAATTTTTCTGACTAAACTAGTCTGGAGCTAGTGATCACTACCACAAATTTCTGTACATGATAATCTATTAAATACAAGACGAAATTGATACTAAAGCTCTGGTATATGCCTAGAGACGTGAAGGAAGATGCTTAAACAAAATTAGTTCTAATACATATTTATGGTTATATAAAAAGGATCATCAATAGAAGATGCTATATAAAAATATGAAATAGAATTATAAATAGTGCAACATTTGTCCTAATATACTGAAAAGAACATGCTGGTATATATTTGAGGATTTATTACATAAAAAATTTTCACTCTGAAAACCTAAATTCTTGGAAGGATTACATCTAGATGATTATAATGAAGAATTAGGCTTAATCTTTGAATATAGTGATAACTAACATTACCAAATTATCCCTTTTTTTTATCCATAAGAGCAGATGAACCTAGACGCACAAATTTAGCGTAATTAAGAAAAGAGGATGTTATGCTATAAGGAAGGAGTAATTCTTATAACTATACCCTACTGTGTAGTAAACTTAGAAACTTTTATAAGGAACGCTTTGTACATATTTGATTATCTTCCAATACTCACCTAGAAGGTAATATAGGTTCTTTCTTAATATACATTAACTGTTTTCTTACGAAAGGTTATTGAGACCCTAATTCATCTAAATAATATAAAATAGGCATTAGAAAATTCTTTTTAATAATAATTCTCTGAATCTTATGTAGACTAAGAGACCATATCAGATTTGTTATTCTGTATCATTTGAAAGAATCATTTTCTCACTCTTCAGAAGTGAGTAAAAATCAGATAGTAATATTCTTTGGTAGTTATGGTTCATCAATATCTATTGAGTGATT